CATTGCCTGTAAAGTAGTAAGCATCTCTTTCCTGCAAGCCATTATTTGACAAAAGTCAAAGTATATCTGCTGTCCGCTCTGTGCGCTCTGGGTCCTGCTGCAATTCCTGTTGTTTACATACTGAACACGGCGTAGAGTCTGCTGCGTAATGGGTCTGCCGCTGGCATTCATACTGTATACTTTACGCAGGACCATATCTATGGAACCCATTGGTCAATTTGAGTGATTTACACCTTTTTCTTAACCATTAGATCCAATAGAATCCGATGGGCAGTTCCCAAATCCACGTAAACATTACCATTGCGGAGGTAATAGAGAAGCAAACGAAGCATATCTGAAAGTACAAGCCTTGACTGCAAAACTTTATACCCAGTTTATTGCCATAAATATGATGATGGATTATCAGTAAAACATTCTACGTGACACAGAGACATTGGATTAACCTTGAGCGGCGTTTTTATTCCGTTGAACACAACTTTTGATCACAAATCAAAAAAGGTAAGATGTAATTATTGTAATATTTTTGAAACCGATTGTTGTTTACTTTCTCTTTTCTGGCTGAAAGCTCCGCAAATTCGGGGTCGTACAGTGATGACACTACATGTATGGAATCTGTGGAGTCTCAGCTTTAATCGGATATCTTGTTTGTGCAGTTACGATAAGTAATAAGGGCATTTTGAGAGTGAGTGCTGTGCAAAAGTCCGTTAGCATTAGTTAGCATTTTTTCGCAAAATGCTAATTCAGAGGCTTGGTATTACTCTTGTGTTTCTTTTAGCTAAAAATTGTTCATATCTTCAGTTAGCTGAGATTCTTCCCGTTAATCTGGTGCTACACATTAATAGTTTCATAAATGTTAAGAAGCCCTGAGACATTGTCTAAAAAAAAAACAGTGGGAGGGGTCCAATGGGGGGACCGCCGTGCTTAAGAGGTTAATATTATTGCTTTCTACTAACCTAATACAGTTATGTGAAATTTGTTGACATAATACATTTAATTAAATTCAACGTTTCAGTTTTTTCAGTGTATTTACACCCTCCACCTTAAGAAGGAGCCTCGTTCAGCTGAGAGTGAACGGGGTAGTGGTATTTTGAGCTTTACTTCTTTGTTAGTCAAGTGTTTGTTTTGTTACTTTGTTCTGTCTGATTTTCTGGCAGTGACTGTGTAAAACAAGCAGAGATGGGAGAAGTACTCACATTTTGGACTTTAGTAAAAATAGAAATACCAAAGTGTAGGAATACTCTGTAACAAGGAAAAGTCCTGCATTCAAAATGAAACTCAAGTAAAAGTACAAAAGTATTGGCATTCAGATACAAGTACTCATTATGCAAATTGGCTCATTCGATTGATGTGTTTATCAAAGCTGGTAAAGGTGGAACTCGTTTTAATTATTTAATTTACTGCTTGGTATAATGTGAATTTAATCCAGATACAGTACAACTAAAGTCTTATTCAAATTTGGATCATACTTTTTATCATTAATCTATATCTGCAAAGTAACTAAAGGTACTACACAAATGTAGTGGAGTAAAAGTACAATATTTACCTCTGAACTGTAGTGGGGTAGTAGTACAAAGTAACAAAAAATGTACTTAAGTACAGTTACTTTACACCACTGAAAACAAGTTTGCTTTCATTTAAGTAAAGACTGTTTCTGAAACCTTTTTGTCTGGGTTATGCAGTTGAGTCCCTTTCCTGCTGGTGTCAGAGTAACACCGTGATAATATGAGCCTAATATAGTTCCATTATTAACATTGACAGTGGTTGGCTTCACATTCCTGGGAGTACACATCCCAGCAGGCCTCACATGGTCTGTAAACACTTATTGCCATGTAAAGAACGCCCAGCAGAGACTGTACTTCCTCAAGTAGTTCACGTTCACACTGCGGCAGCCTGCATAGAGAAGTGCAAGAGAAGCAAGCTCTAGTGACTAAATAAAATATGTTAAAGCTTCTAGAAGTGAGTCTTGATATTATTTTTTTTAATGACAATAAGTGTAAATGTCAAGTTTAAATGCATTTGTATTAAGCGTGAGTTATAAAAGTGATTTTCATCTAAGGAGCAGTAGGCTTAAAGGTCCCATGTCATGCGTTTCCGGTTATTACCCGTCCCCTTGTGTGTTATGAAGGTTTTTCTGCATGTAAACGGTCTGCAGAGTCACAAACCCTCAAAGTACACCCTGTAGGGAGTAAAACTCTAACACAGAAAAGACCTGTCTATGCTGCCCCAGAACGCCTCGTTGGAGATTTCTTTTTTCTTCCTGGGTACAGTGACGTGCCCATACCCAAATGGACCCATTGGTCCAAATGGACCAATCCGTGGAGCCGTTACGTTACGTCCGCAGAGCCGTTACATTTGGACCAATCCGCGGACTTCCTCACACACACACACTCAATCTTTTCTCAGCTGCAGCTCCACCGATTTCTCCTCCCTGAGATGGCGGGACGCGGCGAGGCTGTGAGTCGGTGTGTGAGCACACACACAAACTCCCAGCCAGGCTGCGGGTGTGTGTGTTCGGGCTGGGTTTTGCTGTGTCTCGCTGTCTCGCAGACGGCCACTGGGCTCATAGGGAGGGGGGGGCAGGAGCTCCAACAAGCCGTGTAGCACAGAGCGTGAATACACATACTATTCAGAGATGCTGTATGAGAAACCAATGCGATGTTGGAAAATTGCACAATATAAATCTATTTTAGTATACCTCAACAATGGAATTATGATCAGTAGAAATGGCCATGACATGGGACCTTTAAATACCATTACAAAGGGATTAATACAAGAAAAAATGTAGGCTTATCATCACAGATGGGTGAGGGGGTACTTATAGAATGGAGACCAGCTCAAGGGGTATACGAGAAAAAAAAGGTTGGGAGCCACTTGACTACATGAATACAGAAGCAGTTAGGATTAAATGTCTTGCCCAAGAACACTTGACATGTGGACTGCAGGGGATCGAACCACTGACACACGGATTGGTAGACGCCCATTTACCCCCGAGCTTCACCTCGTATGTGTGATAAAAAGACAAAATGCAGTTGAAGATCCTCGTTGCAGAATACTTGTACCGACACTGGACAATGACATAAAGCTTTGTAGTACTGCAGCCCATGCTTTTGTTTTATGATCCGTGTTATACACCATTTTTGAAACAGCAGCTAGTAAAACTACAAGCCACTCCTCACTGGAAGCAGCCACACTACACGTTATCCAGAAAAGAAAATGTGTGCATTTATTTATCACAAAACAATACATCTGGTCATAGTTTCATACACTTTCTGTTCAATTCTTGGTACACAATTCCAATACACAATACTATCTACCTGCTCTATCCTTTCCATAGTGTCTTTTAGCAATTTATTTTTATTATTCCTGAGGAAATCTGTTAATAATGTATTTGATATCCCCTCAAAATCCCCAAATTACAGGTCAATGTCACATTTTGCTACTCCCCAAAACAGCATGAAGACAAACAAAAAGCCAATTGTTTGTGAATGGGGGTTACAAAACATTCAGTTACTTAAATGACCGCCATCAGAAGGTATTTGGGTTTAACAGAGAGACGTACTTCACTTAAAGCAGCATACTGTGAAATAGCAGCTAAATGACCCCACACCATTTCTCACACCAGTACCAGTCCAAGCAGAAAACCCAGATTTGCACAGTGAAGACTTTCGACAGGAGTTTAACAGCTTCAGCACATCTGGAACCTGTCAGCAAGGAGGGGGCCCTTGGGAGCCGAACTGGATCCGTTCTCATAACAAATCTTCAACACATGTCAGAAAACACTGTTACATACTGTTTTATGTAATCTGAAAATATTAGGGAGAAAATATAATTATTCTTATTACGGTGGCTCTTTAACTCTCTAGCTGTATTGTGAGTGTTGTGATTTTGTGTTGCAACTAACGTAATAAAATACAAATAAAATGTATTATAAACATCCAATATTAGATGTTTGATCCAGCCACATCTGTTAATATAATATACTGTGACTCACTTTTGGACTTATTCCAAATCATGCAATATGGAAGGCATAATCATAATATTAGGTGTGGCTGCAGTTCGCTGTTGAATGCACACATATTGGGTTGACACGCAGATGCAGAAAGTATAAATTGTCTAGGCTCTTTTCCATCTGGAGTGGAACCCCCCCCCTTCGGATAGAGTTTGGACTCTCACGTCCATGTTTGTCCGTGTTATGAGGACAGAGAAAACACATGGTTTCCTTTGTCCCTGCCTGCATTGTGTTTTGTATGTCAGATGGCTGTACACCTATTACATCTAAGGTAATATAAGGATACTATCACCAAAGTACCCAGTTAACTAAAACACTTTAATGTGTTGCTCTTTTATTCTAAAATGTCTATTTATTTCACTGTACGTACATTAGGGTGCCAGTAGGAAACAGTATTTTAGCATTATCCGGTTTCTTACTTGAAATTACACTGAAAACATTAGAGAAACCAATAGAAAACTAAAAAAGTCAAAGGACCAACAGAGGTTTTAAAATGTATCTTCAAGGGAGCCTGAATATCTGTAGCAAATGCACGGCACTCTATCCTCTACTGGTGAAGCTTATATATCGAAACCAAAAAATGGCCTGCTCCCGGGTCGGCTATGCGTGGAAATTTGTACCTTTTGGTGGCATTAATGGAGCCATCAAGGGATTTTAAATATCTGTAGCAAAAGTACGAAAGGTCAGGGGATACAGAAGTCAGTGAGATGCATCCACAATTGATTATGATTTTATTACCAAATGTAAAGCAGTCTATTCATATATTTCAGGACACATAAAACATGCTGAATATACTAAGCAACCATTATTGCAATTCCAGGTAAGCATGACTTAAAATCGCAGAAAATGGCTGTCATAAGGAAGGGAAATTATACAAACAGGTAAAACGACTATGAATAGTTTAGGATGGACATATGGATGGACATACCTGTAGCTATAGCTGTCTTTGTCATTGTTGTTTTGTTGTTTTTTTTGTGTGTGTGTGTGTGTGTGTGTGTGTGTGTGTGTGTGTGTGTGTGTGTGTGTGTGTGTGTGTGTGTGTGTGTTCGTGCCTGTGTACGTGCATGGTTGCCGTCACTTTGCAACAATCAACAGAAACAGCGCCCAGTTAACACTTCCTGTGGTGGCTGTTTTCCAGGAGGATACAATGGGCAACGGGAGATACAAAGAGAGCACAACAAAGGCAACAGATTAACCCTAGATCAGAGGCCTGTAATACGAATCCAGTTCAACATACCCTGGATATGTTTGAGTTAGCTGGCTTACCTAATCCAAAACAAACGCGCTCTCGCTCAGCTGCGGCGCATGCAAAGACAGGGTGGAGGACAGCAAAATAGAGCGAAATGAGGCATGGCTAAAATGCATGATCTGTTTGGTATTTTGAAAAAGAAAACGTATAAATATACCTTATGGCCCTACAATATATTATTCAAATATAGCATGATAGGTCCACTTTAAGTAAGAAATTATATTTTGTATTTTGTATCGTATTGGAATCTGCAACGTACATCAATTCAATAATAATTTCCTGTGCTCATATCATTCGTAAAATATCGTCTGTAAATGGGTGTAAAATGAACCAATAAAAAACGGAATTCATCAGTGGCCTCACAGGGAAGCAGCTCCTGGTTGTATTTCACAAACTGTCAATAATTTACTTATTTTTAGAGAAGCAGAGACTTCTGGACACTCAATTCCACTCCTTTACAAGAAAGGAAATACAAAAAAAAAGTGTTATCAATACAAGGATTGGCCCAGAACATTTCTCCAAGAAGTTACTTACATCAAGTAATTGACTATTTATAACATAGGTTAAAGTTAGATTTGATGTAGAGGGTTTTACTCGAAAACAGCGAAAGCTAACAAATGTCTAAATGAGACAACTAAACGTCATCGTGACGAACATTAGCCGCCTTTAGCTTAGCGGTTGTGACCTGAAGTCATGCAACCGTAAACAAATATTTAATTTATAGCCTAATGTTAGCCTTCTACTTCTAACATTTATGCTTCAACTATTATAAAATGTGTGTTAATGTGTTGAGATTATCCTGCTGAACAAAACGTGTAAGTATCATAAATGTATGATTGCCACAGAGCAATAATCCAAAATCCATTGGAAAGTCCCCATTGCTTTTAATCGAGGGAGCCCTTGCTATGCTCGCTTCTGGGTCGGCCTGAAATACGTCCTCACTGCACCACTCTATTTACAACCTGTCATTGCAATCCATAGAGCCACACAAATATATACACCATCATCATACTTACTTAAGTGTATGTTGAAATATAATTACAAATGTATTAATCAACATTATTATGACGTAATTTTCCAAAAACAAAATGATGATCAAAGAGACAGCACCAAAACAAAGGAAGAATCACATGTTAATTCTTCCCTCCCGCCTCTACTTTAAAGCCGTGGTAGGTGAAGGGTTCCAGGACGGGGCTGCAGGTCTCTTGAGCAAGGCAGGCCATCTTGTTGCTGTCACAGCTGTCCTCGCTGCCCGGGGCCAGGTACACCGAATCAACGGAGTGGATGGACGGGTCCTCGTCAAAGTAGTTGTGGGGCCGCAGCAGGACCCCGCCCCCGTTTCCTACGGTTACCGTGTTGGGGATGTCCTCGGCGTGAGGGATGTGAAGGAAGCCGGTGGTCACCCAGGCAACCAGGTCCTAGGGAAAATGAAAAAAAGAGGTTGGATTAGGCAAGGACATTATTTTTAAATGTGAGGAAGGTTTTTAAATGAGAAGCCCACCCTAGGGCTGTGCGATTATGGCAAAAATCATAATCACGATTATTTTGGTCAATAATTGATATCACGATTATTAAATACGATTATTCATTGACTTTGAAAACATCCATTTATTGAACTTTTAAACAAATACAAATAATAATTTGAACAGTATCTTTGTAACTGTTGATTTCCCTGAACGTATAATTCAACTGAAAAACCAATACAAAAATAAATAAATGATACATTTATATCTACATTTAAATAAATAATATCAAAATAATAAATACCAATAAACAAGATCAACAAATATTTTGGAGCGCACTTCAACAAGCTACTAAACATATATAAATATGATAAATACAAATAAATGTGATCAAATATGTTGCAGTGCACTGTCACAACCTAGCAAAGCAAAATAATCGTTTTTTTCGATTATGTTGTTTTCGTAATTGTGGCAGGCCAAAATCGTAATTGCGATTAAAATACGATTAATTGCACAGCCCTAGCCCACCCCAAACACTCGCCTGGTTTTCGATGCTTTCGTTGTCTTCAATGTACTTGCTGAAGTCCACAGCTGGATTCCAGATGTCATGCTGGTTGTACAGACTGCCGCAGCTCTGCTCAGAGTCCTTCTGCTTTGTGATGGCCACCTTATACCTGGGGAGGTAAAGATTAATGAGATCCGGTGAACAAACTCCTTTTCCACCCAGATGGTTCCAGAGGTGGTGCCTGATTGCCAACCAGTTTTTTGTGTTTCCACTGCAGTGCTGCTGGATCTTGTCCCTGAAAACTGGTTCAACTTCAGAACCACCAATCTGCTAGAGTTAGACCATCAGGAAGTGCATACGTCAGAGGCTGAGGCGGAGCTACAGCAGATCTTTGAGAGTAGAAACGTTTTTGAAGAAGTAGTATCGCCCGGATCGCAAAATGTCTAGAACATGACCACACACATATATCTAAACATTGCGCAACATTAACAAGACATAAATGTTATTTTTCACCAGACTTTTAATTAAAACATCCTTTCCTATAATGTTGTACTTACTCATTCAAAGCATTTTTGGTGAATAATTAATATGCCTGCCCAAGTACAATTTGGATTTTCTGCCCTAAATCCTGTTATTGTTTATTTAGATCTGGTTGATTGGCCTAGGCTAAAATCATCTATGCCATATTGTTACGACCCTAAATTCACATTATACCTTATTCACTGCATTATATTGCCAAACACTAGCAATGGTGGAGCTAGAGCGCTGTACGACTCCTGCGGTTGTCAAGTGCCGCTGAACTGCACTGAATACTAACGTCATCCTGGAGAGTATAAAGCTCAAAAAGCCGAGCTTTTAATCAAATCTGGCTTCGAAAGTTTAAAGCAACATGAGCACAGCTCCAATGTAGTCCGCCATTGTTGTTATTGTGAGGAATATTCACACTGGCTTTGCAGCATTGTAAGCTGTGACATCATGATGTGGCTCATCTGGGGCTCTGGTCTGTGGAAAGCAAACTGGTTCTTTAATGGTTTGTAATGGCGCATTTCCACCATGCCGCGGAGCGCGGTTTAAGCGTGCCGTGTCGTGCCAGGCCCGTTTTTGGTTGCGTTTCCACTATGCCTAGTTCCGGCCCGGGGCTACTTTTTCACCTTTTTTCTGGCCCGACAAAATCGTGGTTCTATCGGGGCCAACAAACAGGGCTGAGTCGGGCTGAGTTTGCTAAACTAGAGAGAGAATCGCTGGCAAGGGGGCTACAACTACAACAAGGTGAACATATTTGACCGTGATTTAATTGTAATACATGTTTCAAAATGATGCCAAAGGAACAACATACTGATACCGGTTAGTAAAAACCATGAATTAATGCTTTGACAAGTCTGCAGACAGACGGCAGGCGAAAAACCTTTTAAAATGCGCGTTGTCTAAATGGAGATCGGCTAAGCTAACGCAATATATGCGCCGACCGTCCACACTCACAACAACGGCCTATACAGACATAAATAAACCAGCGACTGTACTCGCCATGACACAGACAGTCTGTGGTTTGTACTTGTTTAACTTTTGTCTAGTTTCTGAACAGATATGAGGAGCTGTGAGCTTGAGTGCTAACAGCTAACGGCTGATGTTGTTTTTCGGGGGTGCTCATTGAAGATGACGTCATAGCTCCGCCTACACTGCGTTACTATAGATACTACCCCAGTTCCTAAACTGTAATGGAAGCGCAGCATTAAAGTGGCTGGGCCTAACAAGGCCTAACAAGGCCTAACAAAACCGTACTAAGTCGAGCGAGGCCTGCGGTGGAAATGCGCCATAAGTAAGTTTAACCAACAGAGAACCAAACCAGCCCCAGCACTGGAACTAGAACGGAACTAATTTCTGTAAAAAACAAAAAGGGTAAAAATGAAGAGGAATCACTTCTGGTCTGAGCTATGTTGTGTAGCTGCTGTGGCCTGAGGTCTATCATTCCCTCAGGGAGACTGGTTCCTCACCTGGCCCAGGACATGGCCCTCTCCTCGGCCTGGCTCTCGGGGAGATGGTCCCCTGTGTAACTGAACACCTGCAGCCTGTAGGAGCGCTGGTGGCCCCAGCGGTTGGTCTTGTTGCTGGAGATGTGGAGGTAGCGCGGAGTCTTGGTGTCCTGACGCAGAGCTGCCTCCTGTGGGAAACCAAATATATAAAACATGTAAGATACTTTGGCTGGAAGTGAACACCAAAGTCACTGAGAAAACAGACTAACAATGGTCTTTACATTTTTTTGAAACGTCATATGTTATATCATCATTAAGCAAGAACATCAACAGCTAACATATTAATCTGGGCTGAATCTGTTACTCTAGGGCAGGGGTCGCCAACCCTTGGCACGGTATGGCATGGTTACGGTGCCGCGTGCCAATGGTGGCACGCGGCACCGTAACCAGTGGCACACTAGGAATAAGTGGAATAAGTGTGCAAAATATTTAAATTTTATTTTCGGATCCTGAACGAGACCGCCACCAGAGCGCGTCTCCCCGTTACCTGCAGAAGAAAGCCATGCACGCAACACAGCCCCGCTCTCTTTAACTCCAGGCGACTTTCTGCCGCTTTCCTCCGTAGTGCAGTGCTGATCGTTTGACCACAGAGGAAAGCACTTCACAAATTGCAGTACCCATAAGGAGCTGTACAAATACCGCAGTTTTTGCATGGCTGTGTCTTTAGTTGAAAACCCAGTGGCGATCTGCTCATCTCTCATCGAAATAACATGCTACACAGGGGCGGACTGGCCATGTGTGTTCTGGAGAATCACAGAACGGACGATCGTCCTTATTATTATGCTGTTTAAACCAATTATTTAAATTTGTTTGTTAAATTCTGCATCATGTAAGTTAGGGATGCTCCGATCAATCGGCCGCCACTAGTGGAGCCCCTCAGCACCCCCTCCTTCCCGCGTCCATTCGCGATGTCTTTCTGTCTCGCAGATCCCACGCAGCAAGCAGGAAATGAACCCAGCTCACACTGTCCGCTCCTAGCAGCAGAGAGCCGCGCAACGTCCCGCCAACACGGCACCCAGACCCCACGCAGCATTCTCATCTGTTTGTCCTTACTGGTGTCATTTTCTGGTTGCTAACGCCATTGTAACACATAATCACTGATGTTCCGCTGTAACGGTGGTGGACTCATCAGAACAGAGTGGGCGAGCTGACCAATCAGAGCACAGTGGGCTCAGGGAGGGGGGGGGGCAGGAGCTCCAACAAGCCGTGTAGGACAGAGAGTGAATACACATACTATACAGAGATGCTGTATGAGAAACCAATGTGAGTTTGGAAAATTGCACAATATAAATCTATTCTAGTATACCTCAACAATGGAATTATGATCAGTAGAAATGGCCATGACATGGGACCTTTAAGAATTCTCTAAATATAACATGTTTCCACTTTGCTATACCTGCTATGTGAGGGCAATTAAATACATGAATCTTAGCAGAAGGAACCTGTTTCAAGCAGAATGAATGTGGTTTAAATTATTCTGCTGGTTAACCGTATTGGCTTTCTGTCAATGTAACAATGTTAACCTTCCTGTGTCCTTGGGTCAAATTTGACCCCTTCCCAAATGTTTTGTGTCAGGATAAAATGTTTATTTTATGTTAGTTCCAGAAAAATAACAGATTTGCTTGTACACCACGTTTTTCCAAGAGAAAATAATTATGATCACTTTCATTAGGTTTTGGGATTTTATTCAAATGTATAGCATCTGTGGTCTTCTGGGGTCAATTTTGCAGAATAATTCAAAAATGTTTCCTTTTTAAACTCAGAAATTAGGTTTGATTTTGTGTAAATTAGTTCTAATGACCATACATTCCCAAAACAAGAGTACAACTTTTTGTAATAATTAGGAATAAAGTTGCCTTAAAGGGTGTAACATAGATTTGGGTGATTATTTATACTATATGCTTTATAAATAATCCAACCGGGAGGACAAAAGTTGATAGGAAGACAACACAAGGGTTAAATACCTGCTCTGTTTGAAGCTGCTTCTCCACCACCTTAGGGATCATGGTATAGCGTTCAGGCATCCAGGGCATTGAGACATTCACAAACTCCATGTCCTTGGTCTGGAATACATTCTCCACTCCTGGAGAAGAGACACATTCCATTGACTACACCTTATTTTCATTTGACTTTCTCCAATGATGCTTGTTTATAGTTTTTTTAATTGCATTCTGACATACTCAAGTTCCTAAAAAAAATCCTATTACACTCACCTAAAACATCAATGTCCACTTTGAAGTTGATAAAATGGGTGTGGATATTTCCTGTGACATTTTCGGCCACTTGGTGACCAAACGGAAAGTTGTCCTTCAACGCGAATGAAGAGGCGATGTAGCCGGTGGCGTGGACCTTGGCCTCCACTGACCCGCTCTGGTAGAAGATGAAGTCCCACATGTAGTCATAGTTTCCGATAGCTGTGATGGTCCTAAACACTAACGCGCTGTTTGCCAGCCCTCCGTAACTGTTGAAGACAATCTCAGAGAAGTGCCTCCGCAGAGGACGGCCCATGTCATGCTCAAAGACGCAGATTGAATTTCTGAGTCTTCGTGGTACACCAGTGTCCAACAAGTGGAATGTGTCTATGAAGGTGGCTGAATAAGGGCAGTCGACCCCCCTGACCAACTCATAGGCACACCGACCAATGCCCAAGCTGCCGTCGAGGTACTTCGTGAGCATGAGATTTGGGGTGACAGACCCATAAACTGACATGGCCTCCTGAACGCTTAGCTCATAGATGATCCTCTCTCCTCTAAAACGGATATCAAAAACTCTCATGCCTCGTAGAGGGCTCAGACCAAAGGCAAAGCTCCAGTCAAGGTATACGATGTGGTTATTCTTAATACTGAATCGCTCTCCTTGGGCGTAAAACTGCTGGGGCCCAACGCCCGTGGGTTTGTTCCTGGGTTTGAGCGAGGCGTAATTCGGCACAGCTTTGTAGATGATTTTCGGAACAGTTCCTGCCTCGTATTGCTTCTTCAGATCCAATATGCTGTCGAAGTACTGACCATTATACAGCACCTTAATCACAAGCCAGGACATGTTATCAGTGCTTTGGTGGTTGCACAATATCTCAAAACCTACAGGGTGGATGAAGAAGCCCTCTTCATTTCGACAAAGGGAATACCAGGTCTGTCTGTCACCGGACTTGACTCCACTGGGCATGTTTGGGTAGTAAGCAGAGTTTGCAGATGCGTCTATACCAAAACTGTCTAACAGTAGAGTACTGATTGGTTTAAGTACATGTTGCAGAAACTTTATTATCAGAATGTGTTCCCCAGCATTTACCGGGCGTGCAGTCAAAGGGATCTCCCTTCCATATCTTTCCAAGGTAACATCGTAGTGGTAGGTTGGGTTGGGGAGCGGGCCCACCAAATATTCACTTATGTTGTTGTTCATGCCATGAAAAACCACAGCGGTTGCCTCTCTTGCCGGTGTTGGGCCGTTACTATCCAGATGGTTTAAAACATCCAGCTTTTTAGGCAGGGAGAGATCGATCATGTAGAGGTAGTCAACTGAAGGAGGCGACAATGGGTCAGTTGAGATGCTCATCCCTGGGATCTTGGTCATGTAGTCACTCACCTGATGAAACTCTTCCACTGAGAGGTCAGCGAAGACAGCGCTACGCTCATCGTGCACCACAGGTTGTCCTAGGTTTACCTGTCGGGCAGGGCACTTCGGAGTCCGTCGGGTGTTGAGCCATATCAAGACACAGTTACCTATCAATGAGGCAACAACTACAAGAACCAGAATGCCTTTTAGCACATTGGAAATAGTTTTAGAGACCATTTCTCTGCAGTTGTAGAACAGTTTGAGTCAAGGAGAGGAAATGGTTGCTTTTAAGCAGCCTATGTAAAGGGGTGGCCAGTGGATTTATTGTTTTATGGTTTTATGGTTTTATTTTTCACACAATCACCACATTCAAGACCCTCCTCAAACAAATTGTACGGTGTCCTTGGGTGTCATGAAAGGTGCAACCTGAGAAGTGTTTCTTTTGATAAGAGCAATGGAACCTTTGATAAGATAACGCATTAACCATGTACAGTGGCGAATTTAAGGTTGTGTCAAGGGCAGGAGCGGACAAAGAAAGGGGACCAGCTGCATGGGGGTAGCATTTTCTATCTAAATATTCTTTGGGCCATTTTGCCTTTGTTAAAGATAGGACGGATTTACTTTAAGTTTTAACAGGTCTAAATCCTAACAACTTGTATTGACCCGCTGACTATTCATCTTGAGCCATCAGGTCAAAAATGGTTTTGTTTTCCAAACTAATAACCCTGCATCTAATTTATGGGCTGGCACAACATTTAGTTCCTTTGCATCGCCACTGTGAGTTAAACATTTCAATATGTGCAATTATTTTGTTTATGACCAAATACGCCAGCTAAGGATGTTTCCACCAACCTCAGCTGTTTTTTGTGTTTAATGATGGCCCAGATAGGATAAATAAATAAAGTGACCAACATTTACTGATACAGTACATTCACATGACTATCAGAAACAATAGGTTACAAAGGTACACTGACCTGAGCTGGCTCTTCACTTTTCATGCAGAGGAAACAGTTTATCTCAGCTGTAAAGCTAATGTTTAATGAATTTACAACCAAGGTCAGATCAATACTGAAAGGCTTTCACTGTGACTGCTATGACACCATGATGTGAGCAAATATTATTTAATGTAGATTAGATAAGCCAATCATAAAGTTTTACAATATCATTGTTGTTGAAGAAACCTGTACACCATACCAAACTTCAAAAGATGAATAGACTAATTGACCTTTGTGCTAATATCCATTATGAAAGCTCAAAATACAAGGACATAGACATTTGACTCCCAGAATCTACTAATCATAATGATTTTATTATGAAAAATAATGATTCTCAAAAAAATGACACTAACCAAAGAACAAAAGTGTGTCACGAAAATGATGTTAGCTTCAAGCATAGGTGACGGGTGAGGCTCAGGCTAAGGATCGCTGATATTTGACCAACTATGATACCAGTTTTAAACACACAGAGGACATAATTATGTTAATAGAAGCTACTCCATGCAGTTCATTACCCGCCGCCGCAGCATTCAAGGCTGTTTTACCTGGAGAGCAAAGCATGCAACTGCCCTGGGACCCTCAATTCACACCAAAAACCCTAGGTCCACCACACACACACACATTACAAATTGAACTGGAAAAGACCTTAAGGTGGCTTTGGCTTTTTTAAGTTTTAAGTTTAAACACCTTTTAATTATTTGAGTTGATGTAACAGTGCTTTTTCCCAGTGTAGGTGTACTAAATGATAACAGCGGTAATAACTGAAACAATTTAATGAAACTCCTTGACAAAATACCAGAACCACAGGAAAATAATGTGAATTCATGGGTTACTATTTTGATTTTTTTAAGCAATATTTTGACTGGCCCGAGCGCGCAAGTGGAAAGTACGATCTGCTGGCCCGGAGTGTTTAAATAATCCATTTATAACATCGAGCCCTGATATATATATTTATATTAACAAAGGTAGTTAAAGGTGGGGTAGGCAATTTTGGAGAAACCAGCTCGAGTGCGCTAGAAAGCACTTAAGATATTCATTGCTATCGGGATGTTAAGAGCATTCCATGGAATATAACAAAAAGTGTATCTCAAGCCGGTTTCTCAAACTTACCTACCCCACCTTTAAAGTAAAAATTCCAATAAAATATCAAATAAAAAAGAAAACTAACATTTATATAAATATAAGAAATTTAATTAAAAAAAAGTCCAATCAAATAGTAAAATCAAATTGAGTAAAAATATTTTATAAAGCTAAAAATGTAAAGTAAAGATGTGCACATTATGCTACAATATAACAATATATACGGTGCTGTATTAGTATATGTAAATATATGCTGTGAACACATCATCAGAGTGATTGGTATGCAAACTTGGTAAATGTTGCAGCATTTGTAAAGTACTGATTAAAAGGATAAAAGTATATTCTCTTGAATTTAATCCCAGCACACACACACACACACACACACACACACACACACACACACACACACACACACACACACACACACACACACACACACACACACACACACACACACACACACACACACACACACACTTTAGATCAGGGGTGGGCAATTATTTTTTCCATGGGGCCACATGAGAAACTGAAAATATTGTGGAGGGCCGGGCCAAAAGGCTGAACTCAATTCTGCATAATATTAATTGTATTTCTTTATAAAAAGCAGTAAATAGCATTGTTTTGACAAGCTGGTAAGAGTATATGTTGTAGTTAAGCAATGAAAAAGTGAGGTTGCCTTACAAAAAAATGTCATTTATTAAATCAAATTTCCCAAAACAATGGTAAACAAAATGAACGTTTTTCACCATTTGTGACTCATATTAGTGAACATTTTCAGTCACATTCACTCAAACACATTTTGAGTTTCATTTACTGTTGGAAAGAGGTTCTTAGCATTCTAAAGACATCACAATATTGTCTTTGTACTCCAAATATTAAGCAAGATACATCATATTGAACTGTCACTAAACATCACTGAACTGTGATTTTGAGAAAAAGGCTTCCAAAGAAAGTGTCCCAGTTCACTGCTAGTTGGTGCCTTTACATGCCAACATTTGTAGTCTAACCACCTCATTTGGTGTTTTTAAGTTCTCTTTTCTTGTTCAGTGAGAGAAATCTAGTCTCTGCTGGGCTTTAACGAGTGCATCAAAGTCAGGTTGAATGTCTGAGGTGGAGATGCGAAGCACAGCTGACAGATGATCATCAGTGAGAGAGGATCTATACCTGGATTTCGTAAACTTCATAATTGAAAATGTTTGTTCACATATGTATGCGTGTCCATGCACTCGTTTACCTCCGTGAACAGATCGCTCCCTGTCGTCGTCCCTTTCATCGACCGCATTGCTGCCAGCTCCTCCGTAATCTTGAAGTCCGGTGTTATCCCGCGGACGAATACGAGTAACTGGGCTGTGTCGCGGACATCACAGCTCTCGTCCAAAGCCAAGGAGAAAAAGTCGTAACTTGCCACTTCACGTTGCAGCTGAAGCTCCAGATTCCCCGCAATGTCCTCGATCCTTCTAGTCACGGTTCGCCTGGACAGCGGGACTTGCTCAAATGCGGCTTTTTTTTCAGGGCATATTAGTGCTGCAGAGTCCACCAAGCACTCTTTGACAAACTCCCCCTCCGAGAACGGCTTACTGTTTTTAGCAATTTTGTGGGATATCACAAAGCTGGTCATGGTTGCTGCATCACTGGATGTGTGAAGCTTGGTAAAAAAGCCTTGCTGCTTTTGCAGCTTAGCTAGCAAAGCTTCCGATGTCCGCGCCCTTTCAGCGTCAGTCAAGTTTTTATATTTCTCCGCGTGTTTCGTCTCGTAATGTCGACTCACATTGTACTCCTTAAACACGGCGATCTGCTCCCCGCAAACTAAACACACGGTTTTACCTCCGACTTCAGTAAATAAATACTTAGCAGTCCAATTTTTGTTGACAGTGGCGCTACGGCTATTGGGCCAACTCCACCAATCAGGAGGAGACAGCCACGGCCATTGCCGTTCGAAAGCGCTGGAGACGCTGTAGTACATATGCCAGGCCTGTAGATGGTGCTGTTCTCACATAATCTGTCCTTGCAAAAACAAAGCTAAAAAATGTCAAAATTGAGCAAAATGAGGCATGGCTAAAATGCATGATCTGTTTGGTATTTAAAAAAAAAAAAGTATAAATATGCCTTATATAGGTATGGTCCTACACTATATTATTCAAATATAGCATGATAGGTCCACTTTAAATTAAACTTTAGACCTGCAGTATACAAAGCCATTAAAACTAGCTGCACTTTTACCAGCTTTGATAACACTTTAAAGGTCACCTATTATGTTATATTTGAACAATATATTATAGGGCCATATCCAGGGTTCGAGTTATAATCTGAGCTTTATGGGGGTCTTTAACCTGTTAAGCACCAAGCCTGTTTTTGATGTTTCAGGCTCGAAAATGGCATGCCCAAAACAAATGACTACAACTTCCCTTCTAAAAGGGTTATATGAATAATTTATTTTATCAAAGCAAGGTTACATCTGTGAGTTGGATGTAGAAGTGTCAGAATCAATATAGATTTTTCTCAGTCAGAGTAAATTCAGATGGAACATAGTAAAAAAAGGTAAATTCTTACCTCCGCCTAAAAAAAAAACATTACTTATAGTGAAAACCACCCTTGAATGATGGGATGGTAGACTAAAAGCTGTAGGAATCCAAAGTACAACATATAATAAGTACCCTGTATCAAGATTGATGCAAAACAAGTGACATTTGACCTTTTTAGAGAGATTTAGCAAAAAGAAACCACTTCTGGGGTCATTTGGGTGGATTTTCCATATCTCTGGCCCCCCTTGTTCGATTTTGATGGTTGACACCTCTTTCTGACCGTTAGAGCCAATAGAATCGAAGGGGGAGTCCCCCACACACACTCATTGTGAAACAAAGAGGTGGGGGCTTCGCGCACGCAGGTTTGCAACAGAGTGAAGCGATCTCTCGCTCTGACATCTGGAAACGAAAAAGCAGTTTTATTGCTTATGGATTATCAGAAATCATTTCAAAGAGGACACAGACACATTGGATTAACCTATGGATTAACTTCAGCATCGTTTTGTATCGTTTTAATGCCATTGAAGACCAGTTTTGACTAGACTACGACACAGGTAAGCCATGTTAGCGTTTGTAGCTACCTAGCGCCACATGTTTTGATGTACGTTTTCGTTTATAGAGTCGAAAGTTTTTATCATGGAGTGTTGAGGTGGGCACCCATCGATTCTGTGTCTCCTTACGATCATAATCGACATGTTGGATGTGCATCTAGGATAAGTAATAAGGGAGTTATGAGTGAGTTTAGGTGCAGTGATAGGTTAGTATTTTTTCGCTCGTGGCTAATTCAGAGGCTGAGTGTTAGCATTGTGTTTTTTTTTTGAAAAAAAAAATAAAAAAGATCAGTTAGCTGAGTTTCTTCCCGTTACATGGATATAAAACATTCATAGTTTATTAAATATTAACATGCCTTAGACGTTGTTTCCTGCAAATGACGCGTTTATCCGCCCGGTACCGGGGGGGCGGTGCGTAAGAGGTTAAAACTAACGCGTGCACACACACACACGCACCCGTGCACACACACACACACACACACACACACACACACACACACCCTCTATTTGCTACAAACTTAAATATGAAAAGGTTCAACTATGCACACCACATCATCTCGGCTTATGCAGCACGCTCACGCAGAGTTTGCAACGTCACAAATAAATGGGGCCAATCTTCAGTCAGATGTGAATGTGTAATCTAACATTTTCAGTAAGAATAATGGACAAAAGGAGTGCAAATACAAATTCAATTTATTGAAATGTGAACCAAAAGTTAATCAAAAATGTTTTAAATAAAAAGCACATATGGACAGAAGGTGTAAACCTATTAAATGTATAAGTAAACACATTTAGTCAAATAAAGTGACAGACTAGCTGTGCAGTTGGTATCAGCTATGCCCAGCATGTGCTCCTCCATCAGGCCTGGTCCTCCTTCATCAGGCCTGGTCCTCCTCGCAGAGGAAAGACCCTCAGTCCTCTCCAAACCAACAGACAGGACGTCCATCACACGGAGGTTTCTCCCTGAAGTCTCTGCAGCTCTCGGGACACCACGCTGTCTCAATCCGTCCACACTGAATATAAGAGGGGAAAAATGAAAATAATAAATGCTTTAGACAATAAGAAATATAAAGTTGACTGTTGAGTTGCTCAGTTTTTTTAGATTGTCAATACTATTACTGTATAACTAATATCTCAGGTTAAGAGGCACATTCAAATAAAGATTGGTCTTTAAATACATTTTGTCTTTTGAATTGTTTGTCTAAAGTCAAGGATCTAGAACTGGTACTTGTAGTTTTAATGATACAGTCTGGTTATAATGCTGTTTGGAGGAGGCCTCACAGGTAAGAGCACTAACTAGTACCATAGTACCTTAGCTTGACTTAAATGTATTAAACGTATAATTAAGTGATAGCAAAATATAAATAACTAATGTCATGCAAACATATTAAAATTTGCTTGATTCCAGTGTTGAATTTAGCACAATTGCATACAAACGTTAAGGGATTTTAAGATTCTGAAGTATTATGCTAAAAACTCAATAACTTAGATTATTATTTATAGTTTTGCTGAATAGTTTCATGTCCGCTTACCTTAGAAACGTAAAATGCGACGGCAGTGTGCAGACGGGGAGCATGTTAGCTTAGCTTGGTAGCTTGAGCTAGCTCTGGAACTTCCAGCTCGGTGGCAGGAGGTCCCGCCTCGGCTCAGCCTCTTTGCCCTTATTTGGATCAGGCTGGAGCAGGCGGGAGTTAGACTCTGACGTCACTGTTGAGACGTTAGTGGCCGACACCGCCTACTTTAGGCTTCTCTGCAACTCTGCAGAATCCTATGGGTGACGTCACGGACCCTACGTCCATTTATATATACAGTCTATGATATTACGGCATTTATCGACACCTCCTCGTAATTTGAATGTTTTATTTTGAATGTCTTCACCGGAAGTTTTGTTAGGCCAACTCTTGAAATATGCTTTCTTCATTGTGCTCAGAGGCCTCTAGTGGTCACAGTGCGAAGCTACACCTCGGGCCATAAAAACAGCACTGAAATAAAATGTGGTCTGATGTCATAGACTTAACTCTCAAATAGATGTTTAGATAGATAGTATCACGTCTCTAAATTGTAGTCATTTAATTTCCTGTATATTTATCTTGTATTCTCTATGTATTGCTTAATTTTAACATTATTTGCATATAAGTCTAGTCGGTGTTATGTTATTCTGCGCTGTAAATTGTTCGTTACCTACGTTTGCAAATTACCTTAAATTATGTTGTCAGCTTTTTTTCTAAAAAAAATCTTTATACTAAAACAGAAGTTTTTAGGTTCAGTGCTTTCTTTTCTAATCGAATTGAATATAACTGTTTTCATTCTAAAATGAGTGTTAGTATTATTTTGGCAGTTACTTGCTTTTACAGACTGCAATTACATAATTGTAAGTACAAATGATATTGATATAAATTCAGATTATAAAATCGCTTTTCATGTATTATTTTAATGTAATTGGAAGAGTGATTACATCTGCCTTGGTTTATAATGTCTTATTCTTCGTGGTTGTTTATGCATCTAAAGTGCACACTATTCGATTGCAGTGATTGTGGGTAAAGTAGTTTCTGGACACAAGTCAGTTGTATTTATGAATGTTGTTCAATGGTTTCACACTGAAAAGTCTATAAGTAAAAAGTATTATATTAAAGAAAACTGAAGTCAGAACTACGACCCAGTTTTAAAAGGTAACAACATAATGTCCCACTGGAGGTTGGCAGCTATACAAACAACTGAGTCATCAATGATTGGTTATGTTGAAATGATTAAACAGGCATACAGAAATTATACCTTGCCCTTGTTTATTGGTAAAATTACATTTTTGTTTTTGTTTCTTTACCCATTACCCACCCTTTCCCATTATCCCCCCACCAACTTCACAGCAGTGGCTGCTGTGCAGGTACTGTTGTGCTAGTTGTTGATGCCATAACAGGATGACAGTACAGTTGAAAGCAACCCCTCCCTTGATATGAAGAGTAAAAACAAAGACAGAGAAAAGAAAAGAAAAGGGAATAAATCTGACGATAACATCTCAATACACAAGATGATGAGACAGAACCAGTGCATTTAATTCCATCGATTTCAGAAGAAAAAAAATTAACACGTAAAAAAATCCATCACAAAATAATTAAAGTTGACAAAACATCATGTAGAGATTGGGACAATATTGTTTTGACAATAACTACTGATTGATTATAACACTTGAAAAGTCTGATACAAATACAGCAATGTTGTCAACACACAGTTGTGGTTTTGGTCAAGAAAACAAATCTTGCTTTATGTATTTGTCATTGTACACTCATGATTAAAAAACATTACATTAATGCTAACATTACTTATGGGGGACAATGTCAATAAAGTACTATTTACTGTTTATGGTTTGATAACAAAGACGGATGATTGTAAAACCATAAAGGCTTTCAAATCAAACTGAACAGCCTGTGTCATAAGAAGTGGAAGTAATCATAATAATAGTGATAACAATAACAATGTAATAATTACATCTACACATCTTTATCAAGAAGGAATTATCTGTCCATTCCTGTTCTCCACCTTCTCTCTTCGTCTTTTCCAGGAAGATGACCAGGAACAAGACAGAAAAGTGAAGGGCTGCTGCATGCACCTGGAGGTCTGAGCAGTGTCATAAGACCATGATGGAAACACGTAAGAACTTTATGGAGCATGGGGAAGCAGAAGAGAAAGGACAGGGCCAATGAGCCGGTTTATATTCATTCCTGTTGCTTTCTTTTTTATCTTCTACACAAATACAGAAACAAAAAGTGAGCAAGATGGCGCTATGATGTGTCATTTGTGTCAATGACGTTTTTTTTTCCTTCTTCCATGATTGGGATGTTTTGTTTTTTTCCCCTTATAGGTGACGTCAAGTATCCATCATCAATCGAGAGGTCATGGATTGGCAAGTCCTGGGGTTAAAACATGATTCTGCAAATGGGCCTGTGGGTTGTTTTCTTGGTTCAACCGTCAGAGGGGTCTGGCAGGTTACTGGCCAGTGGACTCGTTTGCCAAACAGTTAATTGGTGCCGTGTTGCTCATTGGGTGGTTGGTCCTACCGTGGAGTGGTTCGACCATTGGGACATTGTTTGACAGTTGGCTAATCTCTGGTCTGGTTGATCGAAGCTGTTGATTGGTTGTGTTGGTTAGTTCCCGCCCCCACAGCACTGGCCACTCCTGCCCTGTGGTGCAGCTTCCTGCAGGTCCACGCCGCCTTGGGCCCGCCCGCCGGCCCCCGCTGCACCCTGAGGCTCGTTCTTAGGGAGCTTCTTGGCTGTTTGGAATACAATCAATTAGGACTTGCATAAAGGCAACATGGCAAAGCACCAAATGACTATTGTCAATTTAGATGCGCCGGTGAAGATGGCCGCATTGTCTTTGTGCTCCTCTCCAACTTTGCCCATTTTCGTATTTTGTACATATTTCTTTTACTTTTGCCGTTTTACTTTTAACATGGTTCGCAACATGCTAGCCGACCGCACCTACTCTGCCATACAATATAGCAGAGAGGAACTTTTCCAATTGCGAAACTTCGTGGACAATATTAACCCTCCGACAGACAATGGAGATTCACCATGGCTACCTGTTGCTGTTCTACCTGAGAGACGCAAGAAGAAGACAAAGCGAGGATGCCGGGCCGGGTTGCTGGTCAGACTGAGAAAACGTGAGAATCGGCCCCCTCTTCCGAGTATTCTTCTGGCTAATGTTCAATCCATTGAAAATAAGCTAGATGAACTCAGAAGCCGGATTGCTTTTCAACGGGACATTAAGAACTGTAACGTGTTAATTCTCACTGAGACTTGGCTCAACCCCGCTATCCCGGACTCCGCTATTGTCCCTGACGGATTCTCTATTTTTCGTCAGGACCGGACTGCAAACTCGGGGAAAAGTAAGGGAGGCGGTGTGTGTGTAATGACTAACAACAACTGGTGCTCAGATGTGAAGATTATTTCATCGGACTGTTCCGCACAGCTAGAGCACCTCATGATCTCATGTCGGGCCTTCCATCTGCCGAGGGAATTCACATCTGTTGTGATAACAGCAGTGTATATCCCGCCGCAGCCACTCGCCGACAACAACACGGCACTCGATCAGCTGTTTGGGTTTATTGATAAAACCGAGACTTCACGGCCAGATGCGGCGTTCGTTGTGGCCGGAGATTTCAACACCGCCAACATGAAGAAGGTTTTGCCAAAATATTACCAACACATCAACTTCCCGACGCGCGGGGGAAACATACTGGACCATGTTTATTCCCCTTTCCGGAATGGATATAAGGCTCTCCCTCGCCCTCCCTTCGGCAAATCAGACCATATTTCACTACTGTTGTTGCCTGCTTACAAGCAGAAACTTAAAAGGGACAGACCGATAACAAGGACAGTACAACGATGGAGCGAGGAGTCAGATTCAGCACTGCAGGATTGCTTTGCATCTACGGATTGGAGTGTGTTTGAGGACAATAACATCAACACACACACGGACACTGTCATCTGCTACATTGGGAAATGCATCGATGACGTGGTACCGAAGGTTTCTGTACGGACATTCCCAAATCAAAAGCCCTGGGTAAACGGTGAGGTGCGCGGCAAACTGAAAGCGCGCACTCTCGCGCACACAGCGGGAGATTTGGAGGAGTACAGGAAGTCTAGGTATGATCTCCGGAGAGCAATAAAAAATGCAAAGAGACAGTACAAAAAGAAGGTGGAATCTGACTTCAAAGGCTGTAACACTAGGAATATGTGGGCGGGACTAAGGACAATGACTGACTACAAAGGAGCAGCGGGGGGTGCTGCGGGAGTGTCTGCGTGCGCATCTCTCCCAGATGAGCTAAACAGTTTTTTTGCACGCTTTGAGAGCAGCCAGGCTGTGGAGGTACAGAGGGACCAGGAGCTACACTGCCCTTTTGTTTTAAATAGGGCAGATGTGTGTAAATCCTTTAAAAGGGTTAACCCACACAAGGCTCCTGGACCTGATGGCATCCCTGGCCGTGTTCTCAGGGTGTGTGCAGTTCAGCTGGCAGAGGTGTTCACAGACATCTTCAACAGGTCCCTGCTGCAGTCTGTAGTCCCCACATGTCTTAAACACTCCACCATCATTCCTGTCCCCAAAAAGACAATCATCACCTGCCCCAACGACTACCGCCCAGTAGCACTCACCTCCATCATAATGAAGTGCTTTGAGCGGTTAGTCAAATTATTCATCACCTCCTCCCTCCCTGAATCTCTGGACCCCCTGCAGTTTGCCTACAGAGCAAACAGGTCCACAGACGACGCCATAGCCCTCACCCTCCACACTGCCCTCTCACACCTGGACCCGAAGAACAGGAACACATATGTGAGAATGCTGTTCATTGACTACAGTTCAGCATTCAACACCATTGTGCCCTCCAAGCTGGCCATCAAGCTCAGAGACCTCGGGCTCAACAGCGCCCTCTGCGACTGGATCCTGAACTTCCTGACGGGCAGACCCCAGGCAGTGCGGGTGGGAAACATCACATCCTCCACCCTGATTCTTAACACCGGTGCCCCTCAAGGCTGCGTGCTCAGCCCTCTCCTCTACTCCCTGTTCACCCACGACTGCGTGGCCACACACAGCTCCAACACCATCGTGAAGTTTGCTGATGACACGACCGTCATCGGCCAGATCACAGACGATGACGAGACGGCATACAGAGAGGAGGTCGAAAACCTGACATCTTGGTGCCAGGAGAACAACCTCCATCTCAACATCAGCAAAACAAAGGAGCTGATTGTGGATTACAGGAAGCAGCAGGGAGAGGGACACGCCCCCATCGCCATCAATGGGACTACGGTGGAGAGAGTCAAAAGCTTCAGGTTCCTTGGGGTCCACATCACTGAGGACCTGACATGGTCTCTTCACACCACCACCATCACCAAGAAAGCTCGACAGCGGCTCTTCTTCCTCCGCAGGCTGAGGAGGTTCAAAATGGATTCCAGGATACTCTGCAACTTCTACAGGTGCACGATAGAGAGTATCCTCACTGGCAGCATGACGGCCTGGTACGGCAGCTGCACCGACCTCGATCGTAAGGCTTTACAGAGGGTGGTGAAAACTGCACAGCACATCACCAGGACGGAGCTGCCATCCATGGAGGACCTTTACTCCCAGCGGCTCAGGAAGAAATCACTACGGATTATCAAAGACCCCCATCACCCCAGCCACAAACTGTTCTTTCTGTTGCCGTCTGGCAGACGTTACCGCAGCATCCGGGCAAGGACAAGAAGATTCGGAGACAGTTTCTTCCCGCGGGCAGTGAGACTGTTAAACAATTGAACTGTTGAAACAACATCAAACATTCAACTGCTACTCAGTAGTATGTATCTAATACCTAATATATATATATCATTCCAATAACTTGTATATAGACTCATACTGCACTATTCCACATCATAACTTTATTTCATTTTTATAACTATTATTATTTTTGTATTGCTCTTGCTCTTATTGTTATTATGTTATGTTATTATGTTGCATTGTTGGAGAAGCCTGTGACATAAGATTTTCAACTGCATAATTACTCTGTAGCTATGTCAGATTGACAATAAAGAACCTTGAACCTTGAACCTTGAGATTATTCTTCCAATTATTTTCCTGATAGCTTTCTCGTTAAAACATCAGAAATGACTGAAACAATTTTCTAGAGATGACGTCATTCAATATTTTATTCCCCGTTTTATTAGTCCCTCAGTTCAAATCAAAATGTATTATATTCACTGTATTGTAAAGCAAATTCCCATGTTTGAACCATTCAATGTTGGAATGAGGAAACAACCTGATTTTAACCTCAATATTAATTTCATGTTTAGAGTAATCTTGTTTTTTAGTTGGTAGAATAAGAATATCTGCACAGATATAGGAGATACTCCTCTCAATAATCTTTGTAGGTTAAACGGTAACTGATTATCAATAGAACGAATGTTCAACTATATGTATGATCATAATCAATGTTGCCTTGTTAGTTCTGAGGAGCACTTACCTATAGCCATAAAAATCTCATTGACATTCATAGCAGTCTTGGCGGAAGTTTCCATGAAGAGCAAACTGTTGTCATCTGCATATGCTTGTGCTTCCTAAAATATAAATGGAACACGGACAAATATACAGCATTTATTTATTAATTTAAGCATTTAATGAATGTATTGTTAACTTTATTATCAGACAGTAAAATCCTTCTTTACCTGGAAATCTATGGCTCTCTTGTTGGCCAGGTCGGCTTTGTTTCCTGCCAGTGCGATAACAATGTTCGGGCTGGCTTGTCGCTGGAGCTCCTTCACCTGGTTCTTTGCACGTGTGAATGTATCCTTTAAAAAAACAAAAAAACAATTAGACATTGTTCCTTTAAAATGTAAATCCCTGATGTTTTTAAAAGTCACATTTGACTGTAAGAGTTAAAAGGGCGAAGGTCTGTAGCCGTCTTTAGTCGAGGAATTCTCTTGCACTATTTTATCTGTTTTATTAGTTTTATGTCCTATATATATTCATTTTGCACTGCTGGAGGAGCCTGTGACGTTTTTCATTGCCATATCTACACTGTAGCTAAAGAAACTTGAATCTTGAATCATCAACCCAAACTGGAAGACGAGGGTCGACAAACAAAAGACACTTTAAAAACAACTTACTGTGTTGGTGATGTCGTAGACCACGATGGCGGCCTGGGCTCCCCTGTAGTACAAGGGCACCCAGCTTTGATATCGCTCGTGTCCGGCAGTGTCCCAGATCTCAAACTTCACTGTTGTGTCATCCAAACATACCGTCTGTGTGAGGAAGGCAGCTGGAAAGAAAGTCATAAAGAATATAAGAGCAGAAAATCACAGAAAAGTCATCCGCAAGTTCAAATCCAAACTTTTGGATGCAGTGATTGAGACTAAGATGAATCAATAAGGATTGATCACTCACTGGAGTGATACATTTAAAAAAAGAAAAAGGAATCATAACTTTTCCCTCACTTCCGCTTTCAAGTGTTATTACTGTTGGTCTCTTTCCAACTTAAAGAATGTTTTTCATGACTCTCCCCCTGCACCTTCTTTTCCTCCATTAAAGAGGACTTTTTGCATGTGAGAGTTTCCACAATATATTTTACTTTTGTTGTTCAGCTACCTTGGGATAGCTACTGTAAGTTACTTTGTTTTGTTGGAAGCTATTTTGTTGAGTTGACTCTTAGCGGAATAGTCTCTGGTAGGCAGTGATGCAATGTTTCTATCAGTTACAAATGGGCATGAATGTCCTGACTAACTAACCCCCTGAGAATTACCAAAAAGTAGGAAACATGCCATAAAGGTCAGAAAAACTGTCACGGAAATACAAAAAAAAGAGAAAATGTATAATGTGTAGTAAACACATACTGTATCACACAACAAGCTGGTACAACTGTATACACCTCGCTGAGTCAGGAGCCTGTCACATGACAGAGGAAACCTGAGCACTAACTTGTACATACTTTAAAGGTCCCATGTCATGGCCATTTCTACTGATCATATTTCCATTGTTGAGGTATACTAGAATAGATTTATATTGTGCAATTTTCCAAACTCACATTGGTTTCTCATACAGCATCTCTGTAAAGTATGTGTATTCACCAGGTATTCACTCTCTGTCCTAAACGGCTTGTTGGAGCTCCTGCCCCCCCCCCTCCCTGTGAGCCCAGTGTGCTCTGATTGGTCGGGACGTTGAGAGGCTCGTTGCTGCGATCTGCTGCGAGGAGCGGACAGGTTTCCGGGTCGGCGATACAGCGAGAACAAGCAAAACTCATCCTGAGCACACACAAACACTCACAGCCGAAGTAAAAACAATAAGTGTGGCTTGATATTGAGTAAGAAATAGGTTTATAACGCTGTGAGAATGGGTCTGCGGAGAGCATTTCTCCGCGATCCCAACTCAGTAGCCCGAAAAACGTTTACCCATTTAAACAGTCGTGGTAGATACCTTGTTTGTTTTAAACATCATAAATACACAAACAACAATGAATACTTACAGGTTGTGTACCCAAATCTCCCGCTGGTCCAAACAAAGTAGGAACAGCATCGTTCTTCAGTGCCCTACGCTGTACATATCCGGCATGAATCGCTGAAAGGTTTGGGAAGCTTTGTTTCGTGAAAGGCTGGCAGAGGGTGTGGCCTCTGGGTATCCCCACGTCACAGTACCCAGGAAGTAAATGAGAAATCTCCAACGAGGCGTTCTGGGGCAGCATAGACAGGTCTTTTCTGTGTTAGAGTTTTACTCCCTACAGGGTGTACTTAGAGGGGTTTTGACTCTGCAGACCGTTTACATGCATAAAAACCTTCATAACACACAAGGGGACGGGTAATAACCGGAAAAGCATGACATGGGACCTTTAAAGCTTTGTAATCTTTGACCATGCATTCAGCTGACCACAGGATTCAGTATAAAACATGCTGACTCGTTGTAAGTCTTTGGTGTGTGTATAGCACTGAGCATCCTGTCCCCACATCCTACAGCCATATTACTCATAGGATGAAGGAAACATGGAAAATAAAAGTTGTTTTTAACGTAACATTAAAAAGAGTTGACACCAAAAGAAGTTATGTTTCTATATGACATATAACTGACCTTTCAGCATTACACAAGATAGTGAATGCCACATGTTCCCAGATAACGTTTACGATTTATACACCGAAAATTAGTCCATTCATCAAATGTTTTAAGAAGAAACAAGTTCCTGCTCGTCCACTTGCTGCTTTTCTCTGTTTTACAACAACACAAAGCTTTAGACTGTTGTTCCTACAACAAGCAAACTGAAGACGTCATATTGGGCTCTGTAATCAGCCAATTGAACAATAATGAAATTATGTTTCTTGCAGCCTTATCTACTAGGTATTCAATATCCAAGCAATTTCTTGATTTGACAGCTCGGATCAATAAATGTATCACGTTTATCAGTGTTTTAAAGGTTGTGTGCAGACCCGTTAGAGTGTTAAGGCCAGTGGGAAAGAATCAAAGCTGGCGTTATTGTTCAATAATAGCCTTTCAGCATATTGTACTTCTAGGGGTGTAAACGAAAACTTCTGCAGATCTTCTTTGTTTGGTTTTCAGTCTGTTGAAAGTCTAGCCTGTGACTGAAGACTTTGGCCAATCACAGGTCATTTCGGGAAGAAAACGCTCTAAGTGGGTTTTCTACAAAAGCAGCCTCAGCAGGAGTTTCTGATGGTGAAAGCATGAATCAAGCACAGAGAAGATACAATGCATGCATTAGCAACAACTGTCCACACAGCAAAGCATGTGAAAAAAGAGAAAGTCTTAACAAATAAAGTCTGACAATATCGGCTAAGCATTTCAGAAATTGAGAGAAAATGTTGTTTTTGCCCAATGATGCCAACAATAAAGTACCTTCCCTAGCTTTAATGAAATAATGAAGCCCAGCTTCAGAAGTCAGCCGCTCCAGTGGAAACCTGTCCCTGTGGTTTTTCCAGCTGGAGGATTTGCACTGAACAGCCAAGTTAAAAGTGTACCTATGTAGCCCTCAAGCTGTCCCAGTAATTTAACTCCCTAACTTTGCAAAATGTCAAAGCTACCGACACATTATAGTTGTCTTGTTTGAAACCTAAACACAAGTGTTTCACCAGCTCCCCTGTGCTACAGGAGTTCCAGGAAACCCCCATTGTTTTCTCAATTCCTTCCTGTTTCAAGTAACCTCACTCCTCTGCTACCTAGGAACTGGTGTTTCCAGAAGACAATCTAAAGAGTTGTTCTGTCCAGTTCAAGCTTCTATTATCTAAACAATATTTAGAAATGTAATACGTCTCTGTTAAATCAATATAAACGTCTGCCATGTGTGAGGAGCTGTGTGGCTCATAAGGAAAGTCAGGTGATCTGTTGCAAATAACTGGTTCTGCCACTCCTGCAGTGTTAATTTTGGCAGCTGTTTTTGATTTAGTCTTAGTCTTTAGACGAAAATGGTTATTAGTTTTAGTCACATTTTAGTCATTCCTATCCTTCGTAGTTTTAGTCTAGTTTTAGTCGACGAAAACTCAAAACTTTTTAGTCAACTTTTAGTCTATGAAAAATTACATTTTAGTCAACTTTTAGTCAACATCTTTTCTCTCTTTAAACTAATTCAGTTAGGCAAATACAGGTATCTGAAATTGGAATCAATGTGACAGCATCAAGTGTTGAAATTCGTAAAGCAACATTTCATTCTCTTAACACTTTACTTGTGTAATATATAGGGATGGGTATCGTTAAGGTTTTTAACAGTACTACTACTCTTATCGAAACTGCTTATCGATCCGGTACTTTAACGGTATTCTTGTAGGTACTTTTTGTTATTTTTTAAAGGGAAAAACTAAACAAATTGTTAAACGAATTAACATTGCTTTATTTACATGTGAAATAAATAAATAAAATATGGATAATTATGTTATTATATTGTACTGTACTTGAGTAAAATGTTGAGTTACTTGTACTTTACATTTAAATGTTTTGCTACTTAGTACTTCTACTCCACTACAGTTCAGAGGTAAATTATGTAATTTTACTCCACTACATTTATTTAATACCTTTAGTTACTTCACAGATGTGGATGAATGATGTGAAATATAAACAAGTCTTAAATCAGACTTTATTTCCACCTGGAGTAAATTCACAAGCTACCCTGCAGTATACAAAGTCATTCAAACTAGCTGCACCTTTACCAGCTTTGAGAACACTTTAATGATCAATAATTATAAAATATATCATATATATTATTCTGGAATGGACCAATCTGCACAATGACTACTTTTACTGTCGCTACTTTTATACTTTTACTTGAGGAACATTTTGAATGCAGGACCTTTTTCTGTAACAGAGTATTCATACACTATGGTATTTTTACTTAACTACAAGATCTGAGTACTTCTCCCACCTCTGCGCACCTGATGTGATAACGTTACTCGTAATTGGCGCAACAGAGCTACGAGTTAAGGAAGTCGAAAATGGTGCATTTCTCCAATTGAATATGACGCCTTTTGGCCGGCTGTTTGGACAGACTACTCTACTCGTGTCAACGCGCTTACGCCATAACACTAATGGCAAACAAGCTTTTTCCACATCGAGCCTTGTATATGGGCATAGATATGTCTCATAATTATTTGTGTGAACAGAAAAATAATTTGTGTGTAAATATGTGATTTGTAAATGTAAAACACCATCCACAAATGCATTTAAAAGATTTGCAAACTCACAAATAAATGTGCAAATGTAAAACGGATCTGCAAATGCGCAAAATATTTTTACAAATAAAAAAAAGATCTTTGAATATCTCTTTAACATTTACAACTTTAGATCAGGCATTTGTGAATCCATTTTGTATTTGTCAACCAAAAATGCGCTTGTGGATCTCACGTTTCTGCTTGTGGATCTCAAATCTCTGCTTCTGGATCTCAAATCTCTGCTTGTGGATCGTCTTTTTACACACACGGAGTTTTGAGACAACCTTTCCGCCGGTCTCGGCTAAAATCTACTCGTGTCACTCGGTTAATTTCGGAAGCCACGTGATGGCCTGCTGATGACGACATTTCCGCATGGTTTTCAAAGTAAGAGCATGATGGTTTGTTTAAAGCGCTGTTTTTTTAATGAACAGCGGAACGTTAGATGCCATGGCCATGGGAAGTAGGGGTGCTGAGGGTGCTGCAGCACCCACTGACGGAGGACAGGGAATCTGCACGTCCACAAGATTAATGGAAATATAATACAAATATAATACAAAAAAATACAAAAAATACAATACAAAAAAAACTAATTTTCGGCATTGATGTAACAACATTCATAATTAAG